CTAATTTTTTGTATTTTTAGTAGAGACGGGGTTTCACCGTGTTAGCCAGGATGGTCTCGATCTCCTGACCTCGTGGTCCGCCCACCTTGGCCTCCCAAAGTGCTGGGATTACAGGTGTAAGCCACTGCGCCCGGCGTTATTTTTCTTAAGAAAACATTCCAGCATCTTGACTTCCCATTTTTGTTAATGGGTCCACCATTCTCCTAGCACATCCACACCTGATACTCAGAATTTAGTGATGGACTTGGAAGAAAAGGCAGTCAGTCAATGTCTGGAAAGTCTTCCTGTAAAATCCATCAACACTAACACTGCGACTCAGTTCTCACTGCCACCATCAATTAATAAGAAGTGACAACCTAATAAGAACTGATCAATCTAATAAGAACTGACAACTTGGAATACCAGTTTGTGTTTCTGTCTCATCTAAGAAAACAGTATGTCTTCCATTTATTCAAGTTCTAGATTTTTAGTTTTATACCTGTTTTTATATAGGATTTACTCCTAGTAATTTAATAATTTCAGTAGTTATTATAGAGAGATCTACTTTTTATTTTACAGTCACAATGAGTAACAGTGGAAACAGCAGGCATCCCTGTTTGGTTTATGAATATAATCCAAATAGCTCTACACTTTCTCAACGAAGTGGTATGCTTCTGGAGGTTTCTGCCCTCTTCCTTAGAGGACTGTAATACTTTCCATATGGTTTTCTTTTTTCTAGCCTCTTCCCTGTTAAATTTAGCCTGCATGCTTATATCGTGAGCCTTATCTATGATATTCTCCACAAAATAATACCAAAGTTTCCACAGCTTTCTGTTGAAAACAGGTGAAGTTCTTTAGCCTCACACTCATGGCCTCTGTATTAACCATCCGATGGTTCTGGTCTCATTGATCCCTGTACCCTCGTGTACTGTGCAGTCCACCCATAGTGTGTGCTATGATCCTGGAGAGTCTTACATGCTCGTTAGATCAGAAAGTCCTTCAATACAGGGCTTGGCTCTTATTCACTTTTGTATTTATTATAATAATTTGTTGAACGTTTTCTCTCTAAAAATTATTCAATCGACTCCTTAATTAATATTAACTAGTAATCTACAATAGGCAAACGAATAAACATGTAATAATTTTATAACTAATAGAGGCTAATTACTCACTGTGATAAGGTCATCTCTCGCTCTGAGGACTTTGAGTCTCGCTTGATTCATCAAATTGGACATCTGACTGCAAAATGGTATTGAAAAATAGCGTAAGTAACAACTTAGAACTGCAGAGAAAGAACTTGAACTCCTAGGTTGAAGCAATCCTCCTCCCTCGGCCTCCCCAAAGCATCAGGATCACAAGCGTGAACTACCTTGCCCAGCCTGCAGTTTGGTCTTTGAATAATCCTGTCAAGCTTCGATTTTCACAAATGAAGAAAGAGAAGTTATACAATCTGTCAGATTAGTAGCAGGTGGTCGAGTTAAGACCTGAATCTATATATGCCTGACTCTAAAGCGCCTGCTCCGTCTTCATCTCATGACTTCGGAAAACTTCTTAGCTTAATACTGCAACCGGGATCTACTTACATTTTCTTCTGCTGCTCAATCTGTTTCTCTTTCTTCTCATAATATTCCATGATCTTTAGTCTTTGGGTTTGCACAAGCCGACCTTTCTCTATGTTGAACTCTTCTTCTGCCTACAGGGAAATTAGTCAATATTAATTCATCACATCAAGTTTTGATTAACAATTTTAAACAGCTGGTGACCTGCGTTACTTGCTTATGAACACTAATTTCATATATAAAACAGAAAATTGGCCGGGCGAGGTGGCTCAAGCCTGTAATCCCAGCACTTTGGGAGGCCGAGACGGGCGGATCACAAGGTCAGGAGATCGAGACCATCCTGGCTAACA